CATCCCATCAGACACCCCATCTCCCAGATGGGGAAACGGGCCCAGCTGGCAGCTGGCAAGGCCAGGATCTGAGCCCAGCTCGTCTGGCAGGCTGGGCCCTGCGGGGAGACGCTGAAACCCCAGCCAGAGGGCTCTGCTCCAGGTGCGGCGCCGCCTCAGCTGCCAGCCTGAAACCCCTCCTTACACTTAGGATATTGCTCGGAACCCCTCCCGCCCGGAAACAGGGACTTGGAATCGCCCAGCTAGGCTCCTTGGGGACAGAAGGGCCGTGCACACAGCAAGGCTCTGGGCACCCTGAACCAGCCTCAAAGCCAAGCACAGCGGGTTTCCCATCACCCACCTCTCTGTGCAACTTTCCAAAAGGATTCCCAATGGCTCTCTCTGCAAAGGACCAGCCTCCCAGACCGTGCCCCCCATCTCCAAGCCCACCCACATGCCCCCAACCCCAAGAACTCTGCCGCCCACAGGTGCCCAGTGCAGGTTGCAGAGAGCTCCTCTCCGGAGGCAGCCAGCTGTCTCCCCTCCCCCTTCACATTCTCCAAAGGCCAGAGTATCACCAGATGTGTCTGAAAAGACACCTGCTTAGGGTTTGCATATCAAGGTCCACCTGGCCGGCACGCAACCCAGAGGGCTCTCCCCTGCCCACAGCCCCTTTAGTAAACTCACGGTTGGTTCCGGGGGTCCAGCCTCCTGCCCCCACTTCCCGACGTTCCCCCTCTTCCCAGGCCCTTGTCTCCCCACACAATTGACCCTTGTGACTCAAACTGTTAACTTCCCTTCGACTCCACTCTGGGAGTCCCTGATACACTTTTGAAATTAAGCCTAAGTTCTCAGTTCCATCTCACGAACTCCAACTTCCTCCGCCACCCACCTCCCCACCCAGGCTGAAAACCCAGTCCTTGCCAAGTCTGCCCAGACTTTCTAAATTGTCCATGCAGTCGAATTCACCAAGAGCAAGAACCAAATCTTATCTGAATTTGAATTCTCAAGACCCACACAGAACAAGCATCTAATAGCTCCTTCTCAAGCCCTACAAAAACAGAAAATTCTGGAGGCTCAAGGCTGAGAATCTGAAATATCGCTCCCACCCCAAAGAACCTCGGCGTTGCTGCCCTTATGCAGGTAAGGGCCCTGATGGCATAAAGCAGCCCTGACAGCGGCCGCTCCCCTGGCCCCCTGGCCTTCCAGCTCCTCCAACACGGGCCACCTGAATCAGGGCTCTCCTACCCACGCACTTCAAACTGACCCTCCCGGGAGAAGGGAACCTTCTGCCACCTTCAAGAACCAACCGCAGAGCAAACTTGCACCTCCCAGAATCGGAGATAAGAGGCTGCCAGTCCAACTGCTACCATTTCTTCATCCCACCCACTCGGGACTCAATGGCTGCCAAAGCCCGTAACTCCCCCAGGAAAGAGAACCCAGCCCCCTCTGCCCCATGAAAGGTGCGTGGACCCAAGGACCACTGAACCCATTCTCTCCCATACCCCAGTGAGCAGCCTGTCCCAAGACTGACCGTGTCTCCAAACGATCCTGGCTTTATGAGTTTCAGTAAGTGTGTTCTCAGAGATTTCTGGGGCCCCCAGGCCCATGACATACCTGCAGACAGGGCAGCCTCCAACGACAACGATGGAATTGGCAGGGTACCGGGTGACATTTCGGCTGTGGATGCTGTAGACCCTGGGGTGGTGCGTGGGTAACCCTGTGGGCAGGAAAGCACATCAGAAGGGGGCAGGCAGGAAAACGCGGGGAGTCAGAGGTCTACTTCTCTAGCCCTTCCCCACTCCCCACCAAAAACTCGCATGCTTTTCAAAATCAAGACAACAACAGCGTCCACTAAGTGCCTACTATGGGCTTTAAAAGGTGCTAACTTGCAGACAGCATCTCGTTAATAAAGTTAATTTGCAGGGAGGTGGTGATGCTTCCCGGGAAGGGCGAGCCAGGCGCGCGCGACCGCACAGGTGGGCTGAGGGCCATCGGGCGACACCCAGACTCGGGGTCCCGACATCAGGTTCGCCGAGCGGAGACTGCCCACCACCGGGTCTCCCCTCGGCCGCGCCCCTGCCGCGTCCGGAGAAAAGTTGGTTTCGGGGTTAAAGGTCGCCACAGAACTCCGCCCAAAGTTTGCTCCCGGGGCCCCGGGCCCCGCCCGCTCGGCCAGCTCCAGTCCCGGGACGACCCCCACCCCGCTCCCCGGGCCCACCTGTGACGAGGTAGGGGTAGGGCGGCGGCGGGGCGGCGGCGGGGATGGCGCCGTAGCCGTGCGGGCCGCACGCGAAGTCGCCCTGGCCGGCCTCCAGGTTGTAGGCGGGCGGCCGCTCCTGCAGCAGGGGCTTGTGGTCCATGGCGGGCGGCGCCCACCGCGCCCGGCCCGGCTCCCGCTCGCGCTCTGACTCCGCTGCGACTCGGACTCGCGGGGACGCCCGGACGCCCGGCGGCGGGACCCGCTCCTCGCGGGCGACGGCGGCGGCGGCGGCGGCGGCGGCGGTGGTGGTGGGGCTGGGGCCCCTGGAGGCGGGTGCCGCGGGCTTCCCCCCGCGCCTCCCCCCGCCGGTCACAAGACCCGGGTCACGTGGCGCGGCTCCCGCGGGGGGGTGGGGCGGGGCCGGCGGCGTCTTAAAGGAGCCGCGCCCGCTCTCAGCCGCCCCGCGGGCCTCCAGTCCGGGCGTCCCCACCCGACATCCGCGACCCCAGACCTCAGACAGCGAGGAGAGCCCCCGCCCCCACGCCGACCCAGAGACGCCGCACTAGGGGCGTGACCTTATGGCCTGTAGACCTGTCCGTCCCGGCGCTCCTGGCCCGCTGGGCCTCGGGGGCCCGAGCCCACCCACCACTGAGGAGGACTGAGGCCTGGGGGGCAGGGGCGGCCCGGAGGAGGTGCTTGGCCGGGCGAGTCCCCAGGCCGCCCCCTGGTTGTCACCGCCCCGGACAGGGGGGCCGGGGCCTCCGCATTCTGAGCGACCCTGTGAATCGTGCCTGCTCGTGCTCAGTTGGTGTTCAATTCCTCGGTTTTCTTTTTGACAAACTAAATTCGGTAACTTATAGGGGTTGTGGCCACTAATTACAAATTAACTCCCCTGTTGGGAACAAACCCTAAATATCGGGCACCGCTGTGTGGCAGGTTCTGTCCCACTGTTGCTCCTCGGTTCCGGTAATCTTCACGGCAACCCAAGGAAGTACTGACCCCTGGTCCACAGTCCTGAGACGGCTCAGAAGAGGGGAGTGACCTAGACTGTACCACCAAGGCCGCTCAGTCCCACTACCTCACGGAAGCACTATGTCACATGCTAAGAGCTTAACGGTTTTGTAATAAAACTTTAAACAAACAGATGTGTGAGCTTCAGGCCCTGACACCCTGTAGCTCCCCTGCACCCCTCCCGGGCCTTTTGCAGCGTTTGGGGTTTCCCAGCCTTTCTCACGTGACCCACACTTTGATCTAGCTCGGGGACAACTCTCAGACCCCGCCTCATTTTTAACTTTTCTTAAGAGACCATCGAGATTCTTTATCGCAAGTGTAGCCCAACAATCCAGTGGGAAGGGAGGAGGGGCGGCCGGGTAAGGGCCTGGCTGGCACTGGTGGGGGAGAGCCAGGTCCAGAATGTAGGCTGGCCCCGAGTGGCCAAGGACTTCCGGCCAGCAGAGGTCCTGCCTACGGTGGGGAGGCCCTGCACTCCAAGGGGCAGCTGTGAGCTCTGACCAACCACAGGGTGAGAGCAGCCAAAATCAAGACCGCCCCCCCCCCGCCCTAGGGAAAACTGGGGCACGACCCCAAGCCTCACCAAGGAGCGAGGAAAAGTGGGTTCACGGCAGGCCTCCTAAGGTTCGTCAGCTGTGGACACTCCTGCGGGACGCCCATCCTTCCCCGCCTACCCCTCAGCCTTTCCTATCAGACTCAAGTTGGCAGATGTCTCTTCAATTTCATGGTTAATTTTCCCTTCCTCACGTGTCTGTGTTTACAGATCAAACTCCGAAAAATCCATAGCCTCAGGCTCCCTTCTCGTCTAATAATAGATTTTCGCCCCCAGCAGTACCCCCCAGCTTGGAAATGTCTCAGTGAATGACAGGATGTGGGACTTCCCAACAAAGCAGGCCCCTCCCTGTCATTCCTTCATTGAGCCGAGGGTGACCGGCTCTCCAAGCTTCCCCCAAGCAAGGCCTGAGGGGAACAAAGATACCTTGGCCACGGAAAAGGAGCGGTCCAGTAGGAAGCCTCACTACAGCAGTGCAGCAAGCGAGGCTTGAAGGGGGAGAGTTAGAGGTGCCTCTGAACCCTGGGTGCCCCGGGAGTGCCCCCACCTGAAAGTATGGCCAGCAGTGACTGGTCCCGAGGGACCAGGGGACGAGCATTCCAGGCAGAGTGAACTGCGGTCCCAGAGAGCAGCAGCCCACTACCTGCCGAGACTCTAGGTCACCTGGTGCGGCCGGAGCCCTGGGAGGGGGCTGAACCGCTGGGAGTTGAACAGAGAAGTAGGAGCGTCAGATCTCCTATTAGAAAAATGACTTTGGTAGCAGCGTGAAGGGTGAGAGGCGCAGGGGGATCAACGAGGAGGGACAGCTGCAGGGACAGGGAGGAGAGGCCAGGTGCGTGAGGTGGAGAGCCCGCTAAGGCCTGGCGACCGCCTGGCTGGATATGGGAGACTCAGGATGCTCGGGTCTCTGGCTCAGGTGACAGTGGTGCCAGGACCTGGATGCGGATCGGGAGGAGCCAACAGGAGGGGACGGGGCGGGTGGGGAGGCTGAGCGGCCCGGGTGGACCCAGAACGCGCACATCCTGAAGCAACACCTAACCAAAAGAAAGCGTATGCATCCGCGAAGCACTAGTCTTCGGATAAAGACCTGCGCCGTCTCAGTGGCAGTTCACCCACAAGTATTTTGGAGCAGACACTCTGCCCCAGGAGGCAACAAAACTGGCGACATCCTGCCTTGTGGAGCTGACACTCCAACAGGGTGGGGCCGGTGCTGCAGAGTCGCTGGGGGGGGGTGTCGGGGGGGGGGGGGGGGGGGTGCAGAATGAGCAGGTCAAGGGCATAGGGAGTGAGGCAGGCAAGGCGGGGCAGTGAGTGGTGTGTGATTTTACTTTGCTGTTCGGAGAGGCTGGTCCAGTAGGTGGGCAGAGTCTGCAAGGAGGTCAGAGAGCCAGCCGTGAGGAGGCCGGAAGGACCAGCTGTTGTGTGTTTGCCAGTTTGCTGGTGTTTTAAGGGAAAGGGGAAGTAACAGCACAGTTTGTAAGTTGTTGGGAACAACTGGATGCAGACGAGGGGGGTGTGGGAGAAAGAGGGGGGGAGGAGGAAAAAGGGTGTGGGGTCCTTGGCAGAGTCCCAGACGAGCCACTCACAGAAGCAGGAGAAAGTGGAGCATGTGGGCACTCGGGCAGGTGGGCAGGAGGAGGGAGGGGACGCTGGCTTCTGATTGCTTCTGTTTTCTATATGAAACAGGAAACAAGTCCAGCCTCCGAGAGTAACCTCACCTCCAAGCTACTTCCTATCTCAGTTCATCCTTGGGGCCATCCTGAGAAGTAGTCACCAACATCCCCCAATCGCTTGACGAGGAAACCCAGGCACACAGAGGTTCCGTGACTTTTCCGCCGTCTCCCGGCCACAGAAGGTGGATCTCTGGATCCCAGATCCAGCACAGGTGACCCTAACGATCCCGGCACGTGGCCTCCATGACAAATGCATGAGAGGAAAGCCAGCCACTGTGTGCTAATTTTAACAGAAACACTTTCTTCTTGAAGAAGGCTTGGAAACATACCTTCCTCAGTGCGTATTTTTCAGGTCTCTGAAATCCTCCTCCCAATCCACTTTTATATCATGCATACATTAACAAAAGAAATTTTTTAGCATTGCCAGTTCCACAGAAACGAGAATATGATTTTAACTGCTATCCGTACATGTTTTCGCTGGGAGCACTCAGCAGGGGACCTTGTCGGGTAGGGGACGTGCTGGCCCCCGGCCAGGGAAGGTGCCACTGTCCTCCAGACCTTGACTGTCACCAAGGACTGTCCTCAGGTATAGCCAAAGGAAACCAAAACCGGGACTCCGCCCTTTCTGCCAGGCTTTGAGAAGTGCCGATAACCCGTCACATGGGCTGCTTGCGCATCTGAGAAGCTAGCACCTCACGTGGCTGGGATTGTGGCAAAAATAAAGTAAAATTTTTAAAAAGGAAGCAAATATCATTTCCAAATTCAAGGCTGTAACTGATTACAAGTGCCTGGCTTGGAGAAAGCCCTTGCCAAATATTTGCTAAATGTTTACCTTAGATGAACACCGAGTTTTACGTTTGATGGCAAGCCTTACACTTCTACCAGGAAAATCTTTCTAAATATTTTAGAAATTAAGCACAGATGTTTTTACACAACACAAACGACAATTTCATGCAAATCACAAGGTCAGTCCTATCGCAAGTACAATACACGGGCAGACCTCGTTTTAGTGCACCTTGCTTTACTGCACTTTGCAGACCTGCATTTTTTACAAGTTGAAGGCCCGTGGGAAGTCTGTCGGCGCCACTTTTCCAACAGCATTTGCTCACTTCATGTCTCCGTGGTACATTTTGGTAGTTGTCCCAACATTTCAAGCGTTTTCATTGTTATTATCTCTGGGATGGTGATCTGTGCTCAGTGATCTTTGGTGTCACTGCTACGACTCACCGAAGGCTAAGAGGATTAGGATTTTTTATCAATAAATTATTTTTTAATTAAGGTATGCACATTTTTTTTTAGACCTAATGCTGTTGCACACTTAACAGACTACAGTGTGCCGTAAACATAACTTTTCTATGCACTGGGAAAAGAAAAAAATTGTGTGACCCGCTTTATTGCGGTGGTCTGGAACCAAACCCAAAATACCTCCGAGGTCTGCCTGGATGTTTTACTATATTTAAATCCATACTACGCCCTTCAGTCTCTAAGAGGTGGTCCTCACTGCATAATCCTGCCCAGTAGAGCACACTTACTTGTGCAATGAAACACAGAAGCATCTCCTTAAGTCAACATTTTCTAGCAATTCTCGCAAGAACAGAGAGAAAGTTCTGAATAGAACGTTTCTAGCTAAATAAGTTACCAAGCAGCTGTCCTCAAAACCTCTGAAAACACTGCAGTATCAATAGATGTCAGTGATGTATCTGGACTAACGATGAGCTAAAACACAAAAGTCCACACATTTATGGCAACCACGGGCAAGATGAACTGAACGCCTTTTTCATCTGCCACATTCAGAGTAACAGAACAGGGTGCTTCTCCAGGACTTCTTGACTGAGGGCAGGGGGAGTCCAAAAAAACTTCAGCCACATTTGGATGCTGAGGCGGCATGTGGTCCCCATCCTGACGGTTCTACAAACTCCCTGTGTGACTTGGACAAGTCACTTCACCTCTGGGAGCCAGGCTTTCTTACACGAAGATATCCACCATCCTTTCAGAAATACAACAACGTCTCTTCTGTGGGGGGCAGTTTTACCCCATCACCTTCCAGAATGACAGAATCGCCAATTCTAAATGGAACTTCGAGAGAGAAACCAATGTGTATCCCGCTCCTGCTATGTGTTGGACGCTGTAGGGACTCATACTTCGTTATCAAGGCCGTGATACTCAGGTATCACCCCCAACTTGGAGGAAAGAGGCCACCTCCCCACTGAGCTGGGTCCACTGAACCCCTTGTAACTTATCTCTGCATCCCCAGTGCCTGGAACGTAGTAGGTGCTCAATGAATGTCTAATGGAACTCAGGGTCACTTGCCCAGGTGAGGGTTCAAACCTAGGTCCTTCTGCCTCCAGACTGAGCTCCGGCCCAGAGACTGTGAGGTGTGTCCCCCACCCCACCCCCACCCCCGCTTCAGGCTAGAAATAGGTCTGGACCATTCCAGGCCATTCCTGGTTTTATAAAATCAAGAGTTAAGGAGAGACACTCGTTAAGACGATGACCGCTCTTTGGGACTCACTCGGTGTTTTGTGATTACAGAGTATCATTCAGGGGAAATGATGGACCGCTCAAATTTTCTACCCTCTGCCAGGCATCAGTGAAAGTTACTCAGCTTTACAGCAAGTACTTCCCTTTGAAATCTGCCGCCAAGTGGACTCGTTACCATTTACCAGAGCACTGAAGTTGGTGACAGCAGACATCTTCTTTGGTTGGGGGCAAGCGAATGACCACTCCCAAGCTGAGGGGAGAGGCCACTTCCTTAGGTCAGGGCGGGACCTCTGTGGGTCACCCATCCGCCTCCCCTCATCGTCAGTCATTTTTAAGGGGCCCTGCGGGGCCTGGGAGAGTCTTGGTCTCCTGCTCTCTCGGTCATTAGTCTATTCTGCCACATACCTCAGTTTTCCTGTAGGCCGCAGAGGGAAGCAGAAGAAACCATGTCGTCATGGGGCCCTGGCTTTGTAAAACAAGCGGCCCGGAAGACTGCAGAGGGCAGGGGTCCTCAGGAAGGAGAGGCCGCCTCTGCCCCGTACCCTCCTCTGGCCAGGCCCACCCTGGGTCCCCTCTCCGGCCCTGTTCGGTGGCTCCTACCTGCTCCCTGCACGGTGGACATGGCTGGCTTCAGTGAGATGCCCCTGGGCGGTGGGCGGGAGCCTGAGGACGGGAGCCAGGAAGAGTTCGCTTACGCTCCAGCAGGTGGGCAGGGGCCGTCATGAATGGGTGATGGAGAAGGCCACGGGGGCGGGGCCATCACCGGAAGGGCCGGGCCTCCGGGGGGACAGAATGCTGGCTCACAATCCAAGATTCTCAGGTTCTGAGCCTGGAGTCCCGCCACTAGGAAGAGGCTCGAGGTGCCACCAACCAGATTTCACCTCTGGGAGCTGGGAGGGTTTGGTGAGAAGCCCGTTTAAGAGCACTGCCCAGGGGATCCTTGATGAAAACCATGACTTATGGTCTGTAGGGGCGGGAGAGCCACTCAGGTGACAAAATGTGACCGGCACCAAAGACAAAGGCCCAGCGTCAGGGTGTTTCCTGTGTCCCTAGAAAGTGTCAGCAGGGACTGGAGGGGTGGGGAATGTTGACACGAATAACCCATGAAATTCCAGGAGCCAGGCCCCCCTCAAGTGGGGCCACTGTTCATTCGTCTGCTTTCACGGGTTCCTCCCTTTACTTTCTGAGGACAAGTTCCTTCTGCAGTTTTGACAAAGACCCAAGGAAAGGGGAGTGGTGTCGTGCACCTCCGCCAGGAGGAGGGGGTACCCGGGGTCTGTGCGGGGAGCCGGTGGGAGGACCCCGGAGGCGTGCACTCTGTTCAGGGCATGTCCTGTGCTCCCTGGGCTGCCCGTACTTTCAGCTGCTGCAGGTGGAAAGCGGTAACAGGTGTGCTGTGTGGGAGGGTTCCCATATGCTTACCACGAACCGCCTTGCCCAAGGAACCCGTTGGCAAACTGAGCTGTTATCTGCAGTTCACATCCTTACAGCAAGCAGAGCTGGGTGCTGTAGCGTAAGTTTTGGTCTTTGGCGCTACCCACTACGTAACCCTTACCCCTTTCATTTAGGAGGAGTGGCCTTTAGTGGAAACAGGTCTCCTTCCTGTCTTCCTACCTGTAGCCTGTTGGAGGTGTAATCGTGTGGTCTTTCTTTTAAAGGCGACACAGCCTGCTTTTCCATCTCAGGGCTGCGGGTCCTGGCCTCTGTCACCTGCAGGCCTCCCATCTCTCCAGGCGCCCCTCACACCATGCCTGAGAGCCTCCACGCTCAGCACGCAGGCGCCAGGAGGCCGGGCCGTCTGGGGTCCGCTACTCCGTCTCCTTAGCCTGCTAAGGAGGAGACCCCTCGTGACTCAGTTTCCTCAACAGTAAAATGAGGCATTAATAGCATGTACTCACCCGACCTTTGTGAGAGGTCCAGGACACGGCACGCGGAACCAAGTGAGCAACCATCAGCCAAGTGTGGTTACTGCCTCTGAGCACTGGGGCCCCTGCACAGGGCAGCGGCACATCAGGCACTGACATTCGGTGGGACCTGACCGTCCCCCTGCTGCCCCCCACCCAGCAATCCTGGTGGATGGTGTGGAGTGGATCTTGTCATCTTTCCTGTCAGTTACATGCATATGTAATAGACTAGGGTTGCCTTTTCCCCACGTGGGGACATGTTCTGTCTTGTTGTGTAGTTTGTTTTTTCCACTTGGAGATCTTTGCTCCTCCTCCGAGATACCCATGATCTCTGTCCTCTGTCTGATCGATATATGTCCCTGCTTGTCGGAAGGCCAGGTCCCCCAACTGGGATTCCATACCCAGATCCCTTTCACTTGCTGCTGGGGTTCCCAATTGTCCCAGGAGCATCCACACTCCCTGCACTTTGTTTAATGCTCAATGTAACTCTCATGTCCAATGAACCAAATTTTACACATCTTTCTCTGTTTTGCACATCTAAACAACGATTACAAATACACTGAAGTAATTCTCTTAAACAATGTAACCTGCAGTTATAAATATGGCATGGTTGATTCTTTCGAATATTGCAAACACCTCAGACAGCAAATAAAGCTTATATTAACGTGATGACTACAAAACCAATTTCTTACTCCAAATATCAACATCATGGATTTAACTAATCTCTTCGTTATTTCCTTTATTTTTTTTTCAAATACCTTTTTTGGGTTACAGCTATCTTTACTTTGATATTCTTCCAGGATTGACGGCCCCAGAGAAGAAGAATACCATCTCTAATCAGCCGAGTTAAGGCATTTTGGTTATAGATGGAGTAATTCCTGGATAGGGCTGGATCTAGATGGTTCTTCCCAAGGCCATCAGTTGAAAGTTGCTGTTTATAAGTAAATGCCATTTGCTACATCAATCAGATTTGAAAGCTCAAACCCTTCGCATAGGTTTTAATTCTTTGCTGCCCTGTGTTTCCCCTAAAACGATGCATTTGTAAAGTCTCGCTTGGTAATACAGTATTACGTAATCCATCTTTGGGTTTTTCTGATCAACTAACCTGGTCCTGTCATCATGAATTAGTGACTTATCTGTTAGCATTATTAAAGAGTTATGTGTGTCTTATTAGTATTGCATTAAAATTAGCAAGGCCATCTAGAAATTCCATCGCCCAGAAATGAAGGGTTGAATCTTCATGGTTAAGTTTTCTCTTCAGGACACCTGGGGAGTACAGATCTGGGAACACCCTGCTGAGCCTGCCCGTTACCTGGCTTCCGTGTGTGAGTGCTGGGGCAGACCCCTCCTGGCTCTCATGAGCGACCACCAGTGTGGACACTTCCTGCTTTTTGGGAGCCACTAGCTTTGTCCCTTGGTCCATGCATTTACCGGTTTCTACTTACACAGACAGAAACAAATACCCAGCATCACTTTATAATCGGGGTGGGGCAGGGGGTGGACAGCATACCTATACATTAGCAGCCGCCCACTGTGTTAGTTTTCTGTGCTATACAAGAGAGGACCACAGGTTTAGCAGCTGAAAACAATGCCCATTAATTATCTCACAGTCTCCGTGGGCCAGGAGTCTGGGCTCAGCTCAGCTGGTCTTCTGCTCAGGGTCTCACAAGGCTGCTGTCAAGGGGTCAATCGGGCTGCATTCTTACCTGGAGGTCTCAGTGAGGAGAATCCGCTGCCAGGCCCATGCAAGGTGTTTACAGGATTCATTTCCTCACAGCTGATGACTGAGGGTCCTGGCTTCTTGTTGGCTGCCCTGGGATCTAGAAGCTGCCCCCGGTCCCCGGAGGCTGTTCACAGCCTGGCTGTTTGCTTCTGCAAGGCCAGCAGGAGAGAAATTTCCTAGCCTCTCTTCAAAGGGCTTTTCCCTAATTAAGCCAAGCTCAACCAGGATAATCTTCATTTTGATTAACTCAGAATCAACTGACTGGGCACCTTAATCACACCTGCAAAATCCCTTTCCCTTTGCAGCGTTCTGCCAGCTAGAAGGATGTCACGGGTCAGCCCCCATTCAAGGGAGGGGGCTATATGGCGGGCTGAGATCTCGGGGGCCACTCTCTCCCATCTTCTGCAGTTACAACTACCTTTGTGCACACATCATAGTAGCGGTTCCCTCTGGAGTTTCACTATGAGCTTGTGGCTTTGCCGCAGACCCAGAGGCCGTCTCCCTCAAGGTGTCCTGTGCTGGGTCTCCTGCCACCTGGCCTGCCTGCTGGTCCCGGGCCTTTGCACTTGACGTTCCCTCTGTCCACTTCCCTCTCCCCTGAGGGAGCCACATCCTCGTTCCTTTACTGTATTCCAGCCTCTGCTAAACTGTCGCCCCATCAGAGAAATCAGAAAACCACTGAGAGAGGCAGCAGTGTAGGGGTCAGGAGCCAGGCACTGAAGGGTGAACCCCAGCTGCCTCTGGACCCACCATGTGACCTCCCACCCTGAGCCCGAGGATCGTCCTTGGTTAAGTGCGGACGGGAGTCTGGGCTCTCATAGACCCCTGGCCCACATACACAGTTATCCAACTGACTCCTTTCTACCTGGGATGAAAGTGGCTCCTTGTGTGGGTTCAGGGCAAGCTCACCTGCCTTCCTGGTGGTCAGAGGCCCTGGTTGGGGATCCCATGCTGCTCCTGGCCCCTTGCTGGTCCTTTCCACTTTCTGGAGGAATTTCCTTTATGAAGTTTCCCTTAATTTGACTTCCTTCGGATCAGGAGACATTTATCTTAGGTGACCTATGGAAGCCTCTCGATACCTAAATCAGATTCATCCTCTCTCTCCACGACCTGCTGCCCCACCTCTCACCGTTCACTAGTATTTGGCAAGTACTTACCATGATGCCCAAAGAACTACACCAGGCAGTGAAGTAGCTTGTCAAACAATCCCGAAACTCGCATTCCTAAAGCTTCTTCTAATAGATGAGCTTTATCACTTGGGGAGAAAGAGGCGTGACCATAACTGTAAAACATAAATTGGAAAAGAGATTTCACACAGAGTACTTGACCCCTAAAATATATACTTGGAAATACAATGGGGGACCAGAAAGAGGAATTCGGGAATTTTACATGAAAGGCATTCACGGTAGCAGTAAGATCCAGCTGGTGTTTTAGGAAGGTAGGCAGCAAGCTCTTTAGAGCAGGAGCCTGGAGTTTTTCCTCTCTGCACCTGCACACTTATTGGCTTTAAAGTAACTGAAGAGCTGCTGCTGGGACTTATTCTTGTGAAGGGACCTCGGGAGCTTCCTGCAAGTGGTCTCCAGTCCAGGCAGCGTGAGCTCTCTGTTCATGTGGGTGAGAATGCTGCCACTGGTGACCAGTGTTCACCACCTGTCCCATCCCCCGGGTCCAAAGCAAGATGGAAGGGACAGTAAAATTCATGTACATAGCCCTGGGCATCAGTCTCAGCCCTGCCACTGAATGGGTCTACAGGACGACTGTTTTTTTTTTTTTATATATAAATTTATTTATTTATTTTTGGCTGTGTTGGGTCTTTGTTGCTGCATGCGGGCTTTCTCCAGTTGCGACGAGCGGGGGCTACTCTTCATTGCAGTGCGCAGGCTTCTCTTGTTGCGGAGCACGGGCTCTAGGCGCGCGGGCTTCAGTAGTTGTGGCACACGGGCTCAGTAGTTGTGGCTCGCAGGCTCTAGAGCGCAGGCTCAGTAGTTGTGGCACATGGGCTCAGCTGTTCCGCGGCATGTGGGATCTTCGCGGACCAGGGCTCAAACCCGTGTCGCCTGCATTGGCAGGCGGATTCTTATCCACTGCGCCACCAGGGAAGCCCCTGGTGGCCTGGTTTTGAATGTTCGGTGCGAGTTTAGTGCCATTAGAAGCTCCTCAAACTGCTGTCGACCAGTAGCCGTCATGTGGCGTAGCGCAGGGTAACACATAAAGCGAGCGGAAGGTGGATCCTAAGAAGCTTCTGGCAGATAACAGATAAATACAGAGACCCATATACCTACAGGTATATAAACACTAGGGATTGAATGTATGAGTGCAAGTTTTATTTTGCTTCCTGGAGCAGAGCTTATGCTAAGCACATAACCCTGGGTCTTCTTTTGGTCTACTCCTTACCCTTGTACTTTACCCCTGACCTTATCAGTTTCTCCTCCTTAACCCCTAATTAATTGCCTTTATACACACAACTCAAAAAAAACCTTACAGGTTACAGTCTTTCCTGCCTTCTAAGGTATTTCTCTCTCCCCTCTTGGACCTTTTCAGCTCCAGGTGAAAAGGACTCTTGACCAATCTGAACTCCCAACAGTGCCTGCATGGAGCCTACCACATAGTAAGCACTCCTAAAATGTTTGTCAAATGAACGCCTGACTTGGCTGTGTTTACATGACTTTGCATAACTGGGCGAGGGTCAGGCAGCTGCGACAGTGCCTATCACTGGCTTCCAGGTTTCGCTCACTCTTTGTTTGCTTTTAGAGGTTTTGTAGGTTTTCTTTTAGACACAAAAACATCATCTCTTCACTTCAAGGCGGCGTCGCCTGTACTTGGATGTGTGCATCTGGACGTGCACACGACCTTTGAGTTGCATTTTTCTACAGACCGTTTCTGCAAGTTTCCCTTTGCCAGAGACGGGGAAAACAGCACATTTTTAGCTGCTTCATCTAGCACCGTAAGTATCAAAGGAAAAACGGAAGTGTTGAAATTAATTTCGTTAGCAGAGTGTAAAGGAAGGACCTGTGCGGTGTGGGCCACCCCGGGAGCTGGGCACCACCGGCTGAGTGGTGAGAAGGGACCTGGAGAAGGCAGTCTGCCCAGGGTCCCGCCCTAGGGGTACCAGGCTCACGGCAGACATGTGACTGATTGGCTTTACAAGGGAGGAATGGGTATAAGCAGAATTAAACTGAAAACACTGTGTACCGCTTGTGAGTAAGAGTTTACTCCGAGTGAATAATAGTTTCCACAGAGAAAGGAAACTTCAAACAGTGATAAAGAGATATGCCATCAGAGAGTTTAGGAGCAACCTGGCCACCTCCATCTGGCACACGGCGGAGAGCCTACTGCATCATGAGAGGGTGAAGACAGCCACGCACAGTGCTGGTGGAGGTGGGGGTGAGACGCAGGGGGCTGAGATGTGTGAGGGTCGGTTCTGCTAATCTATACCCCTTTTTTTCGGGCTCTTCCAACATTTTTCAGTGCATGACTTACCCATTATCTGGGGGACTGAGGGAGGGATATTCATTCCTTTAATAAAAGTTGAGTACCTATTGTGTGTTAGGCAATGATAAAGCCGTGGAAATTCCAATGTCAGTAAGAAAGGCACTCCCTTGGAGATCTCACAGTGTGGTCAGGGAGACAGATGGGATTACGATTACGATACAACATGTGATGGGCTAGAATGGAGAAAGTACAAAGTATGAGGGTGCAATAATGCAGATCTGCTTTCCCTTGGGTTCAGTAAGACTTGACCTTTGATCTGAGACTTGAGGCTGAATGAGAATGGACAGTGGAAGAAGGAAGGTGGGTGGGACGTTGGCACAGTGGGAGCTGCGTGGGGGAAGCCTAGGGGTCTGACAGAGTGGGGAGGGCCCGCACAGGGACCTCTGCCAAGGCTCAAGCTTATAGGTTCACGGGGGATGAGGCACCACAAAACGTGGAGCCGGTGGGGAGGCTGCTGGGAAGAGCCCGAGCTCTTGCCTGTGGCTGATGGGCAACCACTGGGAAAGTCTAGCCAGCCCATCCTGGCATCAGTCCAGCCATCCCTCCCTGTCCCAAATACCAGAATATACACGGTAACGTCCGTCACCTTGAAAGCATCTCTCCATCAATCATTTGGGAGGGTGCTGGATCCAGGGTTGTTTCTAAAGTGTTTCTGGAACTTCCACTAAGCAGTGATGCAAATGGCAAGTGCACCAACCCAGCTACACAGAGATGATACGAACAATACTAGGAATGTGTGAGGGCTCTGCGGGCACCGAGCACTGCTGTAAATGCTCCACACGCACTTTCTCCCTTCATCCTCCCTCCAACCCAAAGAGGCAGGTGGTGGTGTTATGCCCATTTTGCTGATGAGGGGGACACGGGCTCAGAAGGTGAGTGGCTCACACAGTAAGTGATGGACCTGGAACCTGAACCCACTGTGTCTGGCCTAGGAGAGAAGTGGCAGCGTTAGGATGGAGAAGAAACAGGAAATGGGGACTTTCCTGGTGGCGCAGTGGTTAAGAATCTGCCTGCCAATGCAGGGGACACGGGTTCAAGCCCTGGTCTGGGAAGATCCTACATGCCGCGGAGCAACTAAGCCCGTGTGCCACAACTACTGAGCCCGCGTGCCACAACTACTGAGCCTGCGCTCTAAAGCCTGCAAGCCACAACTACTGAAGCCCGTGCACCTAGAGCTCGTGCTCCACAACAAGAGAAGCCACTGCAATGAGAAGCCCACGCACCGCAACGAAGTGTAGCCCCCGCTCGCCACAACTAGAGAAGGCCCGCGCACAGCAACGAAGACCCAATGCAGCCAAAAATAAATAATTTTTTTAAAAAAAGAAACAGGAAATGAAAGCTAAGATTAAAAAGCAGAAATAGGAATGAGGATAATCCGTTGCGGTGAGGGCAGAAAAATGCAGACCTCCTGACAATAACTGAAGAGTCAGCTCTGCGAAGGTTGGAAGGACTGGGGGTGGGGGTGGCCGATGGGGAGGAACATGAGTCCCCAGAGAGTCCACTGGGTCAGACCCTGAATCCAAGAAAACTGGCACTGAACTCTGTCACAGCCCATGAGCACTGCAAGAACCTTGGAGAGCTCCGAATTCATGCTTCTTCTAAAGTAGAAACCAAGGCCAGAGAGAAGAAATGGCTACAAAGTGTCACACACAGAACAGAGTCCAGTGGTCTCGACTTTGAGGCTAATGTTTCTGCAGACTAGTGGCCACTCATGCTCCTGCTAATAGTACCCTAATTTTCCTCTGAGGAACCACGCCCTCTGTCTGGCTGAGCCCTCATGCTAAGGGTCTTAGCTCAGGCTGCTACAACAAAAATAGCAGACTGGGGGCTTAAACAACAAATACTTCTCACAGTTCTGGAAGCTGAAAGTCCAAGATCAAGGCACCAGTAGAGATGGCATCTGGGGACAGCCTGATTCCTGGCTTGAAGACAGCCACCCTCTTACTGTATCATCACAAGGGGAAGAGGCGTGAGGTCTTTTGTGTCTCTTCTTATGAAGGCACTAGTCTCTTCATCGGGGCTCCACCCTCATGACCTAATTACCTCCCAAAGGCCCTGTCTCCAAATACCATCCCACTGGCGATTAGGGTTTCAAGATGAATTCTGGGGGGGACACAAACATATCATCCATAACAACCCACATCTCCAGACTAAGCCAGTCCACAAATGCCATTCCCTCATTACACACAAGACTCCATAATGCCATCCAGGGTGAATCAGAGGCTTCTGCCTTTTCTGCCTCTGGAGTCAACCCATGGAGGGCTTCCCCAGTGCGTCCTCAGAAGAGCAAGAACCAGAGAGGAAGGGAGGGAGACTAGGTCCAAGTGACACTGCTTCAGCCTTTCTGTCTGGCTGTGCCTGGCCTTTCATCAGTCACAACTCCTTTTTTTTTTATTTTTCTTTCTCCATCCCAAGGTCCACGTACAGCACTTACACCAGAGCCTGGCACCTAGCCAGCGCTCACATGGCAGTATCACTATACAAGCTACCTCGAATTAGGTTTTCTGTCATTGGCAACACAAGAGCCTGAACAAAACGGTGACCTGTTATTGCTACCACACCACGCCGTAGTCACAATTTCTCCCAAGAAGGTTAAAACTTTATGTGTACTCAGACATCTCGGTTAGATGGAAACCACCTAGACACCTGTTTCGATGCCCGAGACCAAGCGCCCAGAAGCCGGCTCCCCTCCCCCCTCCTCCAGTCCCTGCAGAGCCGCGCACCCAGGCACCTCCCTACCTGGCCCCTCTCCTCGCCTGCGGCCCAGAGAGCACACCGCCTGCTCCGGCAGGTGGACCTGGGGGTGGCGGGCGGTCTTAGGGGGCGACCAGCCGGGTCCTGGGGGGCGGCGGGCCGTCTGCAGGCCCGCCTCGGTACCGGGAGCGCGGGCAGCTCGCCCCATCACCGCAACCCCGAAGCTCAACTTCTTCGAGATCCCGGAAGTGGGCGGGCGTGCGACCCAGCCGAGACCCCAAAGCCGGCTGGTGACGCAGCGTGCCGCAGCCAATCGCGCGCCTCCTGCGTTTGCGTTATTGCGAGGCCGGCCAATGGGCGCGGGCCTGGCTGCCGCTTCCTGCCCACAGGCTCGCCGGCCCCGGGGGAGAGCCTGCTCGCTCTGCCGGCCTCAGAGGCGCAATCGCCGCGACCCCGCCCTCCGGGCGCCGGCCCAGGTGAGTGCAGCGGCGGCCGGGAGGTGGGACGGGCGCCCCCGCCCCTCCGGACAGGTTGGGGCGGCGGAGGCAGCAGCAGCGTTTGCCCCACGCGCGGCGAGGTGGGAAGGGGCTGTGCCAGTGCTCTTTCCTGCACACCCGGCGGGTCGCCGTCCCCGGACCCCCACCCCGACCCCTGAACGTGACACCCCCACCAGCCTTTGCGCTGGAGTGACTTGGGAAGTGATTGGCGGGTGTAGAGGATCGAGCTGCGAGGAGCCCGTCTGTCCCTCCTCTGGGCAGTGGTGAGAGCAAAGCTGCTTGGCGTGGGATTAGCTCAGGCAGATGGTAAGGGCCCGGCGCTGAGATGCTACTGGTGGCCGGGCAGGGGACCCACCTGGCGCCCAAGGGCACGGAACCTGAACGAAACCAGGCCGACCGCCCAGATGATGGGAGCCGGGGGTTCATCTTCAGAGCTGGCGGCTCAGGGCACCTCCTTCCCTGTGGGAATGGAAGGACTCAACTAGCGTGCATGTCCCGCTGTTTTCCCCCACCTCTTTAGACCCTGATGTCGCCTTTCAGCAGCTCCCACAACTGGTAGGCAGTGAGCTGCTTTAGTAGCCAGGGTTTTCTCTGTTTGTTCAGGGGGTGGGTGTGACAGGGTGTAATAATAATAATAAAAAAAACCCGCAGGAAATCTTGGGCAGGAAGCAGTCCTAAGGTGGCCTGGGAAGTAAATGCTTTAGGCACCCCCTTGGGACGGTGTCCCTCCCTGTACCGCACCCCACGCTACTCCCTCAACCCCCACCTTCCCTTGGGTACCTTTACATCTATGAAGGGATCTGTTAATTAACCCGAGCAGAAAGGTAGATGACTCTGCGGGTGGTGAGCAGGCCTACTGAGAAGAATGACTGAAGGTCCACCTGGAATTCATTGTGCAGAAGTTCTTGGTGAATTGGAGGTTGCTTTCTCGGAAGATGTTGCCTCCCTCACTCCACCCCTAGAAAACAGAGAGATCCCAGGATCCCAGAATCGTGCAGCTTAGTGCTCCAACCTCCCATTCAAGAGTCCTCTGATCCAGTGACCCCATGTCCCTGGACAGGTTACCCCATCACCTCACAGCCAGGAAGTGGCCTGGGAGATCTTGGGACTACATCCTGGCTGGCATGGAAAGGAGGTGAGGCTGACCAAGGATGTCCACCTCGTGTCATCTTTAGGTGGGAAGTGACGGGTACCGGGATTTCCACACCAAAGGGAATTTGCAAACATAACCCCCCCATCTTTTCTCTGCAGTAGAGTCTTCTGGTAGTTGCCCAGAAGGCTGAAAGTACATCTATCTGCTTAGTCATTTCTCTGGAGGAAAGTGTATCCAAGTTCAACATCACCATTCATTGAGCTCAACATGCAGACTGAGCCTGACTTAACTGGCTACTTGTACAGTGACCTGTGAGCCAAGAAATACCTTTGAAGACTGTATTTATATTAAAATGTCACCATGGGAACCGACATCACGCCTCCCCCCATGTAAAAATCTTACTTTTTTCCCCCAACAATTTATGATAAGGATTGTCAAACATACAGCCAAGTTGAAAGAATTATACAGTAAACACCCACACACCCACCACCTAGATTCTACTATTGACAGTTTGCCATTCTTGCTTTATCACATATCTATCCACCTCCTAGTACCTTACTTTTAACCTTAAGTAACTGGTGACATTCAGCTTCCCTGGAGCCATATTTCCGTCTCTTAGCTCAGGGAGTGGTGGTGTGGTGAATGTAGGTGGCGGTGATTTTCCATAACTTTGAACAAACACCCACTTTGTGCAGAGCGCACTGGGAGATGCAGAGGAAATGAAGAGGCCGAAGACTCAGGCTGACCAGAAAGGGCTTTGAGTTTTTTGTTTTTAAGAGATAGAAGATAAGTGGCAGCTTGTGAGAGCAAATGGCAAGTAATAAAATGATTTCAGTAACACTCATTGAGTTCTTGCTGGGTACTGGGCTCTTTATTGTAGCTCTGTGCCTGTGTTATCTCATTCAGTTCTCACAACAGCCACATAACTGGGTTAGTCTTCCTTTCTTCCTTTTACAGATTAGGAAATCGAGGCACAGAGAGGTTAGTCAGTAGTGGGCTTTTGTTCATGCTAGAAAGTGGTGGGGCCGGGATGGTGTGGGTCCGGCGTGGTTCTGGTCACTCTTAGTCACGGCGTAGATGCTGCAGGGGGGAGAGTGGACCCTCAGGCCTGCCCAGGGAGGAGTGGAGGGGCATCTGGGGGCTTCCAGGGGTCCCATCTCAGGCACCCGGATACAGATGCCAGTTTTCAAATGGCTTCAGAAGGCTAGCGTCCTGACTTCCCGTGTGTTTGACCTGGGCGTTGGGGCCCCGGGTGGAGGGATCAAGCTCCTCCACTCTGCCAGTCAGGCTCCCCACCCCCCACCCCCGTCGTCTTCCTCCACTTCCTGTTCTGGGTGTTTCCCAAAGCTGGCGCCTGCTCCACTTCCCTGCTTCCTGTTCTTTATCCTTCAGTCACTTCCTTCCCCGCCCGCGCTCTTTCTTCTCCGGTGTTTGTAAGACACACTTTTTTCCGAAAGAGCCTCATTGCTCGTAGCAGATGCTCCTGTTTCCAGACGGGTTCCATCGTCCGTGTTGTCATTCCAGTCGTCACGCTTTCTGAAGCGCCCTGGTGCCCCTGGCAGGTCTCGGGAGCAGAATAGCCTGGCTCCGGCCTCGAGGCGCCCAGGCTCTATCTCCCCGTAGCTCTGGTTTCCGAACCAGACAAGCCGTGTCTCGCCCTGGGGCAGTGATGGGTCTTGGATGTGGGAGCCGCCCTGTCCGGCTGAACTGCTCACTGGGATTCCCTGCACTGCCCTCTTCCAGCTGCTCTGTTTTGCTGCCGTGGGCCTGGCCACGTGGCCCTGCCACGCCTCTAGGAGTTACGTCCCAGCAGCACTGTCAGCCCTGGGGTTGGGAGGGTCAGCGGTAGAGCATAGCCGTGACTCTGCCCACCCCCCGCAAATAAGAAAGGAAGAGGAGAGAAGAAGGAACCGGAGTGGAGAATGGCAGGAGAGGGGTCGGGGAAGAGAGGAAGGTGGTCACACAAGGAGGGTAGAGACAGTCCCCTCCCATCCCTGCCACGCACACAGCCACAGAGCTCTTGCGCGACCATACAGGGCGCTCGGGGGATGGGGCGGGGCGGTGCCGGGCCTGTGGGGACGCCCCACGAACGCACAGAGGAAGGTCACAGGGGGACCAGCACGAGGGGGTCCCTCTCCACTGTGGGGCAGAGGCCTCCCAGGGAGGCAGCAGGACGCATGTAGGTTTGGGATTCATTAAATCTACAACTTTTCACTTATTCTTTAGACAAGAAAGATCTGAATGAACTATGACCAGATAATAATAACATTCATTAAATTGGGGGCAGTGGGTATTCGGATGTTACACGTTTTGTCCTCTGGACTTTTTTGTGTGTTTGAAAAAAAATCCCCATCACGAGAAGGGCGAAAGGCAGAGAAGAGAAAAGGGCCCTGGACTGCAGCTGGGCTCTGCCCCTGCTTTGCGGGGGGCCTTTCAGCCCCCTGCGGCAGGAGATGGTCATGGCCCGGGCTTCCTGCCTGGCCCGGCTGGCCCCGGGCCGGGAGCGGCTGTGGGTGCTGACCCTCGCCCTCCCGCCGCTGTTTTCCCGCAGCGCCGCGGCCATGCCCAGCTCAGAGCTGTGGGCGGTGGATCTCTTCGGGAGGGTGTTCACGCTGTCCACGGCCGGGCGGCACTGGGAGCTGTGCAGGGACGCCCAGCTGGAGTTCAAGCGGGTCAGTGCGGCCGCGCCGTGCTGCTGGGGCATCGCCTGCGACAACCAGGTGTACGTGCACGTGGGCGCCAGCGACGTCCCCATCCGCTGCCGGGAGGAGGCCTATGAGAATCAGGTGGGGTCCCGAGCGGCGGGCTTGCTGGGCTGGTCGCTCTGCCGGGAGGTAAGGGCCCCCGCACCCCAGGCTCCTGGCCTGTTCCCGCCTTCACCGCCTTCATTCTGCTGAGATCCGAGTGCTGCAGCATCCGAGTCATTGAGGCCAGAGACCCTGTGGGTCCCTATCCAGGCAGCTGGCCGGGTCCGCACAGGCACGGGGCTCCGGCCGGGTTCCAGGAGCCCAGGACGGTCGTGTCCCCCACTGCTCGGCGCGTCAGGTCCTCTGCCGTTTGGGACCGGACTGGGCTGCGGGCTTACGATGCAGAGCCAGGCCCTCTGCTCCCTTCCCGCCCTGGAGATGAGAGGAGGTCCCCACTGGCCTCGGAGAGGCCCTGGCCACCAGGCTTAAGGCTGGTCTCTGCCTCCGGCCCCCAGCGCTGGAACCCCGTGGGCGGCTTCTGTGAGACGCTCCTGCCGAGTGACCGCTGGCCGTGGAGTGACGTGAGTGGGCTCCAGCACCGGCCGCTGGATGGGGTGGCGCTGCCCTCGCCGCATTGGGAGTGGGAGTCGGACTGGTACGTGGATGAGAATTTTGGAGGGGAACCCACAGAGAAAGGGGTAGGTGCACTTGGGTCCCGCCGGGGCTCCCCTGAGGGGAGGGAGCGCCTTGGGCTCGGCCCGTCCCCCCAGTGCTATCCCCAGCACCCCGTGGCATCAGACCTCAGCCTGGGCCCCGCGTGCTCCCCGCTTGCCGGACGGGATCCATGGGGACGATGCTTCGGGCCGCGCTGCTGCTTCTCCACCCCTCCTCCATCCTGCTCCCCCTTCCCCAGCTCTTTCACGTCCTTCCTCGAGAGCTTTATGGCCCCTCCCCCCATCTTGGTATTGCAGGGGTGGACATATGCCATTGACTTCCCCGCCACGTACACGAGGGACAAGAAGTGGAACTCCTGTGTGCGGCGCCGGCGGTGGACCCGGTACAGGAGATACAAGTCCCGGGACACCTGGGCCAAGGTCCGGGGTCCCGCGTGTGGCCGGGGGCCGGGGGCGGGGCCCAGAGCGCAGCCCTGTAGTGGGGAGGGTCACGTGGCCCTCAGCCCCACCCTCCCTGCCCTGCTCTGGGGACGCCATGCCCGCCCCGGGGCCTGGCCTTTCCTGCTCTCCTGTTCGGAAGGCTGTGGCCCTGGGCGGCCCTCGTTTGGGAGATGGCTGGTCGGGGAGCCGGGCCAGACCGTGGCCCCGGACGGCACAGAATTGTCTTGACCTGGTCTCCAGGCTGCCCTGTCCCAGACTCAGGCTCAGTCTGTGCACGTCTTCCTCCCCTGCCCCCCATCCCGCGTGGGAGCCGCTCCGGCTCTTGTATTTTTCCAGTGACCCACAAAAACCAGCTTAGGGACGCAAGGCCTGTATTGGGGTCCTACGTGGCCTCAAACGAGAGGAAGGCCACAGGCCCTCGCCTGACCCCTCTGCAGGGTCCACGCCGCGAGGTGGGGCTGCCAGCCCAGCCTGCCTGGCCCTGGGGCTGGGAGCAGCCTGGGAGCAAGGTGACGGCCAGTGTCACGGGAGGCCTTCACTGCAGGGCCGTGTTCTGTGATGGGGGGAGGGAGCCACAGCGGTCAGGCCACTGCAGAGCAGGGGCAGGAGTGACTCCTTGGGGACAGCAGCCCAGGCCTGGCGGCCAACAGGGGGAGGACAGGGCAGAGGGGGCCCAGGGCTGGGAACCCTCCATCCTGATGCTGCCGGCCCTGCGAAGTCCGCTGGGGCCGAGCTGGAGGACGGAAGGCAGCGTGCTGAGGGCCGGAGGGGAAGCCAGGGGTGGGAGTGTGCACGTCCAGGTGTCCACCAGGCGGGGAGCAGGGCCACCTCCTGGCCCAGGTGCCACAGGCACTGACCGCTGCTGCCTCACACCTCCTCATTTCAGATCCCGTCGGAGGATGACCCCCAGCGGTTGCCTGACCCCTTCAGCGACATCTCTGTGGGGGGTTGGGAGATCACAGACGAGCCCGTGGGCCGCCTGTCCGTGTGGGCCGTGTCTCTGCAGGGGAAGGTGAGGCCTGTGCCCCCGCCCCCCCCCGGCCTGGCATGGGAGGCGGCTGAAGGAGGCCGGCCGCAGGGAGCGGGCAGGAGAGAAGCTGTCGTCCACTGACCTCCCAGAGGTGGAGGAGGGAGGAGGGCTCTCCTCGGGACCCTCTCCTCGCCTCCTGTCCCCGCAGCTGGGGCTGCCCTGAGTGGTCAGCCTGTTACTGGGGTCCCCACAGAGTCCCCCTCCTGTGAATCCTGCTGTCCTGGGGACCCACAGGGTCCTGTTCCTCCCAGAAGCCTCTGACCTCCCACCGCATGGCTGCTCCTGGCCTGTCCCTCCTCTGAGCCCCTGGAGCACTGATGAGTGTCCACCCTGGGCTCAGAGGGCATCAATACTGGCTCCTCAGATAGAATCTCAGCTCCCTGCCCACTGCCTTGTGCTGCCTCCCACATGCTGGTCTCCAGTAGTATTGTGGATGGGTGGGTGGGTAGGAGGATGGATGAATAAGTAGATGGATGGATAGGGGTATAGATGTGTGCGTGTGGGTGTGTGTGGGTGGATGGATAAATGGATGGACGGTTATGTGGATGAATGCACCGGGAGATGGATAGATGGATGGATGAGCAAGTGGCTTGGTGGATAAGCATATTGATGAGTGGATAGGTGGGTGGATGGATGGATGGCTGTTGGGATGGGTGGGTGGAGGTAGCTGTGTGGGTGGGAGGAGAGGAGATTCTTTTCTCGGGGAGCTTGTGAACTAAGCAAAGGAATAAAACCCACTGCTGACAGAAACAGTGACAGTGGCACGGATGGGCCTGGGTGCAGGTGACCCAACACTTCGGCTGCGGCTGTAGAGCGTACTTCGTGACCGTTCAGTACCCTTAACACAAATGGACCAAAGTTCTCTGATTGGCTTTGGAGCAGCCACAGCAGGCTTTTATCAGGCTTACCTTCAGGTCCTGCTTGGTCTGGGCTTAGGTCAACCCGTAGTAGTTTTCTCTGAGCCACACTGAAGGGTGGTGGGGAGCTGGCCGGGGACAGAGCCCCCATCGAGGGGCCACGCCACCTGGATGCAAAGAGAGGGGAGAACGGGTTTGAGAACAGCACCAGGTGTGAGCCAGCGCTGCCCTGCATCACTCCTGTGGTCCGTAAAAGGTGAAACCAGGACCCGGGGCTCCCGGAGGAGCCGGGCAGACAGTTGGGCCCAAACCAGCAGGTAGCAGAAGCGGGGCTGCCAAGACCGGGTTCTGCAGTGCAGGAAGGCAGTTGATCCAGCTGCTGATTTATTCACTGGATAAGGTGTTCGAAGCAGCACCCAGCAAACCATCACGTGCAAACAGGGCCCATAGCACACGCATTTGTGAGTGATGGTGATCATGGTGGAGGCTTATAACCAGTCTATTGTCTCTTTTGTCTTTGGAAAATTCTGTCTGTGCTAAATCATTGAAAATGTTTTATTCATTATTATAAGTGAGATCATGTCACATAATTCACAAGTGTTAAGGCAGTCTGTTCAGATAGCATAGAATTTAAAGTTTACAAATAAAATTAGTATGAGTAATAAATCCCACTAACTAATAAAGAATTTTAAAAAGAAAAAAAAGGGCAAGGTGACAGGGTTGGGAGGCCTCATGGACCACGCAGCGATGTGCTGCCCCCTCCAGATGAAATCAGCCAGTTTGGGCAATAGGAGCGGGTGGCTCAGTCTTAAATATTTGATTATGCTCCCTGTCTTAAGGTTAAGGAGAAAAAGAAGTGGACGTTTTAGACATTCCTATGAAGGGGGCTTGGGGGTTTCCTCATCCAGCCGCTGGGGCCCCTGGCTTCCCCTAGAGACAGGTGTCCTGAGGGCATTGTGCCACTAGGGGGCGCAGGACACCCGGGCTGGGGCTGGAGTTCTCACAAGTGAAGCAGACGACAGAAGAGGTCTGTCCCCTAGGACTGCCAAAATCCAGGTGTCAGTGTTGCATTTTTTAGCAGGGGTGGGGGAGTCATCTAACCTGGTCGAGAATCCCGATGGCAGTGGGGGCAGGGTGAGCGAGATCTGGACAGTCCCGGCACCCTGGTCCCCAGTCCCCTGGAGACCCCGGTCCCCAGTCCCCTGGAGACCCCCGGTCCCCTGGAGACCCCATGCTTGGGCTGTGCATGGGCTGATGCAAATGCAGCCAAGCTCGGGCAGCCAACCCGGCCACAGAGCCCCGGCCTGACCCTGCCTGACCCTCCCCATGGGTTTCTCTCTCCACCCAGGTGTGGTACAGAGAGGACGTCAGCCACCCCAACCCCGAAGGCTCGTCGTGGTCCCTGGTGGACACCCCGGGGGAGGCGGTTCAGATCAGCTGTGGGCCCCACGACCTGCTGTGGGTGTCGCTCTGGGAGGGACAGGCCTTGGTCCGGGAAGGAATCAACAGGAACAATCCCAAAGGTGGGCAGCCCTGCACCTTGCGGAGGAGAGGAGGGCGGGGCCGCCCACCTTCTCCCGGGAGCTCCCAGTGATGGGGGCCACCTGCACTGTCTTCTGGGGCCGGGTAGGAAGTTCGTGGTCTGTGGTGGAGCCTCCCACGTCTGAAAACGGGATCCTGCACGTCTCCGCAGGAGTCGGTGTCGTCTGGGCCGTCACCAAGGACCGTAAGGTAGGACGGGGTCCCTGGGGGCTGGGTCCAATGGCTCTGTTTAACATTGAGGGTTGTGTGGTTTTTTGTTCTCGTGAGAGTGGTCCACACCCTTTGGAACAAATCCAGTGTCAGCCAGGCACCGTGCGTATTCTGTTGTTGACGTCACTGGTGATCTCCAAGATGTTTGGTGACCCCCCCCAACGTTGCCTGCACCCCTGTACAAAGTGCAGAATGACTGTATTTACTGTGCAACAGGCTGTAACATTTCAAATAATCAGAAGCTAATTTTCTGAAGCCCTCAGCTAAATGAATGCCTCCCCTCTTCTCTATCCAGAGCTTGTCATTTTGACTTTATCAGAGGCAAGTCCAGTGAAGTAAGCTGATTTCGCATTGCTTCCGTGATCTTTTTCTAACCCCACGTCAGGGGCATCCTTTCTGCACAATGTGCTGTGCTCATCTGTGGCCTGAACCAAAGGACCAAATTATTCATTTGTTTTCCCAGGCCTTGAAAAAAAACCCCTTCTATTTCAGTGGCCCTCCAGGGAGGTGTGTTTATTTCTGACTTTCCCAGGTTTGGTTCCGAAGAGGCGTCAACTCTCACAACCCCTGCGGCACGAGCTGGATCGAGATGGTTGGAGAAATGATGATGGTGAACGTGGGGCTAAACGACCAGGTGTGTGTGGTCCGGAGCCTTGGTCCCCAGGGGTGGGGGTGGGGGGCGGCAGAGGAATCAGAATGGGGCCCCCCATGCTTCCCGCCATCCCTTTCCACTGGGCATGCTCATGAGGCTGGTACCGGAGGGCATCCCAGAACCTCTGCCCACTCCAGGCCCGCGAGGGCACCCGAGGGGGCTGCTTTCCCCCAAGTCCTGGAGCCCCCACTGTCCTGGGTCACACCCCCGAGGACCCTCAGAGCAGTGGTAGCGAGCACGGATCTGGGGAGGGACATTCATCCTGGAGACTGGAAAGTTTTGTTGAGAAATTTCAGGGCGAAATCAGATCACTGAGTACAGGACAAAACATCTTCCAACTTTGTAAGAGCAGCATCTTTTAAACATCACCTGCATGGTTCCTATCGCAGCCTCTTTCTGGTGGATAATGTGGTTTGGCTAGTTTTAAGACTTAGGGTGTGAAGGTGATGCCTTTCCCGATGCTCTGAAAGCTCTTCCTGGGGGCGGGGGGGCTGGCCTTTCCTGTGTCTGCACACACTCCTCACCTGCCCAGGTGAGCTGGGCACGCAAGGGCAGGGGCAAGGGGGTGCCAGCTGGTGCCCATGGGCCTGAGCACGGAGGCCACGTGCGATAACCAAGTGACAGAGATGCCGTAGCCCCCCCCTCCCACAGCAAGGCCACCTGGGGCCACGGCTCCGCCTTCAGGCACCCCCAAGGCCAGGGCTCCCAAGGGGCTGCTCCCAGGCCCCTCCCCTGGGCCCCTCAGCCGCCCAGCACACTTTCCTTCCTCAGCGCCCACCCGGCCACCTTCCCCATAAAACTGAGGTCAGAATCAAGGAGGTTATTTTGCATCTTTAAAAGGACCAGGACCATCCTCTGGGTTCACTTGGGGAACAGCTCCCTTCCCACCAAGGCCACAGGGAAGCTGGGGACATGGGTGGACTTCCTGTCCCCGCACAGTGCCTACCGGCACCAGCACCTCCCCTGGACGCTGTTGTCCCAAAGGCCCAAGTCTGCCTGAGGTCGGGGAGCTAGGCTGGGTCCCTGCTCCTCCTGACCT